AACATTTTAGTTCAATACACCAAAGCATTGTTGTTAAAAATCGGCTAAAATACACGGAATATTCTTTAATTCAAATCTTCTTGAAATGTCAAACAAGAATCTCTATGGTTTGGGTTATGGTGGGGATCTCAACCATTTTCAGGTCATATTATTTGAACATTCTCAAATGGTAGGGGTTGGCATGACCCCTGAGACTCATCCTATTATATCATTCAATTCATTTTGACATGTCAAACAAGATACTACTATATGGTTTATGGGTTTATGGTGGACGGGTTCCCAACCATTTTCAAGATTTTCGAAATTCTCAAATGGAAGGGATGGCGATAACCACTTGGTAGTTACCCTATATTTCCTTCAATTCATTTTGACGTGACAAACGAGAAAATATGTGTTTGAGGTATGGGGATTTTAACCATTTTCAAATTATTAGAACATTCTCCAATGACAGGGGTTGGGTTACCACTATTTATCATTCAATTCTCCTTGATTAGACAAACAGGAAAATATATGGTTAATGGATAGGAAGCTCAGATATTGAAATTACTTGAACATTCTCAAATGGATTAGAGTGAAGATGACCCCTAGGGACTTACCTGAAATACAATTTAATTCATCTTGACGAGTTAATGTCTGCTTATCCTTCCGGAGCACCTGAGATCACCCCCAGTTTTTGGTGGGGTTCGTGTTGTGCAGTCTTTAGTTTTCTTTGTTGTGTTTTGTGTACTGTTGTTTGTCTGTTTGTCTTTTTCTTTTTTAGCCATAGCGTTGTCAGTTTATTTTCGACTCATGAGTTTGAATGTTTGGAGACCAACATATTAACAACAGTACACAAAACACATTATAGAAAAGTAAAGACTGAGCCACACGAATCCCACCAAAAAATGGGAGCAGTCTAGGTGCTCCGGAATGGTAAGCAGATCCTTCGCCACATGTGGCACCCGTCGTGTTGCATATGTAAATACAAACCCGGTGATAAGTCTAATTCAGTAGGTCACATTCGTGGAAAAGGGGACGTGATTGTAGTTACGACAATTGAAACATATCCGTCGTTATTCGGACCTGTGGTATCTTTTGTCATTCATGTTGCAACGTTTTCCCGAGTTGGTTCAATGATTGGGCTGTGGGTTGGCGTTGGCGGACGCGTCTTTCAAGTTCGAACCAATAATGCTCTATAGAGTTTAACTGCGGGGACTTAAGGGGCCATGTCAGTACATTTATGTTGTTCTTAGTTAAAAAAAATCCATGGTAACCATTGCTGTATGGAACCTGGTATTGTCTTGCTGAAACATTTCCTTTATTCAATAGTCACTATGATGCCGGGCCATTAATTCATACATTTTGAAAATGCTATTCTGCTTACTGAGTTCTCTGGATTTTTAAGTCTGTATATGCAAAAGTGTTTTCCACCAACCCATACGAGAGCCTGCTGACAAAGATCCTGGTTAAGAAGACAAATCATCTATGAATATCGTTAATTAAGACTTTCGGGTCTTCGAATGTACGTACGAGGAGGTAGCTCAGGGAAGACCTTACCCCGGATATTGAAGTCAAATTTCAATTTTCTTCGTCTTCGTGGATAATGTGCGACAATCTATCTCCCTAGTGTTGTGTGTACGAAAGAAGCCTGTATTAATGTATATTTCTGAAACTCTGTATATAGGAAAATGCGTTTAGTATATTGCTATTGATAGCAACTTTGTGAAAAAATATTGGTGTTTGTCATTGGGCTTGCAGTAGAAACCTGTTGACAAGATTCCATTCTTACATTGTATAGAAGTGTAAAGGAATGTGAAATAAGAAGCATATTACATCAGAGAATTAGAATTTCTATTGAGGGAAAGGCGTTGCTGGCCTGTTGAGTGAAAATATTTATTTACTTTTCGGTTTATCCAACCTCATCATGAGTGAAAAAAGATGGTATAGAAGGGGTATACGTCAACGAGAAACTTTCCCACCGACAAAAATAGTCAAAATATATCTATATAAAATAAGGAGATGTTGTATGATTGCCAATGAGACAAATATCCACCAGATACCAAATGACGTAGATCTATATTAGCAACTATAGGACGGTCGCCGTACGGCCTTCATCGATGAACAAAGCCCATACCGCATAGCAAAGCTATAAAAGGCACAGACATGACAAAATTTAAAACTACTAGTATTCAAATGACTTATGAACAAAAGAACAAACAAAAACAAATATGAAATACCGTATCAAAACGAAAATCACTGAATTACATGCTCCTTGCTTGGGACAGACACGTGCAGAATGTTGCGGGGTTAATGTGTTCATTTTTTCCAGACGTCAATGTAGCAAAAGGTGATTTGTTGGGGTTGCATTTCGGCATCAGAAACACACGAACAACATAAATTCCCGTTATTTTGACTTTCGCATGTATTTGTTTAAAATTGAAATTAAAGTTAATTTCAATAAGTTACAAGTTAAGTTAAGTTTCATTTCATTTAGTCTAGGAAATAATTTTTTTTCCTGATCCTGATCCTAACTAAAAGTCAAGTTTGTCACAACTTGTCTTGAATGTACCTTTCCTGCTTTCCTCAAATTGTACGCCGTTGCTCAAAGTAATTTATCATGGTACTTTTAAAAGTATACTATTTAGACGCTGGATCGGGATTCGGGTCTTGTCCTGTACTTACTATGTATTCCCCTACCGATTTTTATCACCTTAGGCTGTGATAAATTGAACACATGAGATATATCTGCTGCCTGACAATTCATTTTACCGTTGATCCAAAGGAACCATTGATAAAACGATCGAAATTTAAATATTTAACCCTTCTGTTCAAGAAGAGAGAGAGAGGAAAACCCATTACCTAGTTTCTTTTCTCTTAGCATGGTGACGTTAATAAGTCAGTATATCCAGATATTTTCAGCAGCTGGCAGCAATAAACTATGTAAGAAAGAAAGCAAGAGAGAAAAAGAGAAACTGTTCAAAGAGTCACGGGTAACAAGGTGTATGAGAAAATCTCCTTTTTTAGTTTATTCGTCATCATATAGACATTAGAATCATGAAAACAGACCGTCTGTCCCTAATGCTATTGCGTTAACCTTGAGATAGTGAATTGTTGGATGTTTTCAACATAATTCATGTCTAGAAAAGACAGAATAAAATTACTTTCAAATTCAATACCAAATCAAAGTCATTGTATTATGTATGTCTCTGACTAAATTAATGACACGAACCTAGCTGTGTTCACTACGGAAAAGAGTAGTAGGGTTTTCTCGGCATGCATACACTATAACCACTGTAATCATTGCTTTCAAATCAAATCAAATTAATAAAATTATTTTAAAGTGTGGTAAAAAGCATACAATACAGTAAAACATATAAGCTCTTTAGAGCTTTTAAAACCGACTTACTAAAAATACAAACATAACTAATATCATCAAACATGCAAAAACATGCAAAAACACAGACATAAGTGTTGCAACACATTTACATGTCTAGCAAAGCAATAATAGCAGAATTAAAACATAAATTAGTAAAGCTAAAAACTAAAAAGCACTAGTTTGTAATAAGCACATAGATTAAATAATCTCATTTGTTTCTAAAAATATACTGCAGAATATTAAAAATGATATAAAATGAAAGCACTAGTAGGAACTATATTAACATATTTTACCATACTAGTATTAAAATTATTTAACTATTTGAATTATTCTGTAAAGGGGTCCGAACAGGGGTCCATGTGTCAATGACGCGCTAGAGTCCTGTTCAGGGTATCTCAACTTTAAACAGATTGGCGCCATAAGTATAAATATAAATTTAGTCTGCGCTTAGAAAAAAAGCAAGTCAATGCCACGGTAAGAAACTAGAAAAAATATATAAGTTTACTTGTCAGGCACGCTGCTCCAGAATCATTGGAAGACATAGATCTATGAACAAAAAGAACAAGTACATCCCTGTGCCCCCCCCCTTTTCCCACTTATCAATTAGTCCCTTAAACTGGTTTAAAGTAGTAGCGCCCCTTATATCATTTGGTCACCACACAATTTAGAAGCAGTGTACCTCACAGAATGTAAGCCATATCTAGTTGTATTCTCCCTTAGAACATCAGCAGTAGTACTATATATCTAAAAGAATAAGAATTGTGTTAGTTTATAACAATTAAATCATGTAGATAAGCAGGTGTCTCCTGATTGATAATTTTGAATACTTCAATAGCTAAATATCTCATCCGTCTTAATTTTAAAGACGGTAATTAAGACTTTTCAATAAGCTGATCATATGAGCTATTTAGTCTCACCACAAAAATGCCAAACCAAATTAGGGCAATAATTAAAATTTGACAAAATGAAAGAATAGTATATGGTAATTTTGCCAGTTTATTTAAATGTTAACTTTACCAATTCTTTTCAGAACATTAAGCTGTTGTGATGCCTCACTCAGACAAATATTAGATGACTATTACAATTAAATTAAAATCAAAAGTGACACCAAAAGTTTTACTTCATCTTCACATTCTATATTATTACCATCTAAATCAAATATGATATTTTTGTTAAGTGCATTTTACCTATAGATATAGCTTGAGTGAACCACTCTATTTAATATTGAGCTTTCAGCCTCCAAAGTATTTACAACGTCATCCAAATTGTTTGCTACCATATGAAAGAGTGTTATCATCAGCATAATCATAAAGATCACTTTTTGAAATAAAACCAAAATTGTCATTAATATATATATATATATCAAAAATAAAACTGGGCTAAAATTGAGCCCTGCGCCACGATATTCCCTTAATATATATTAAGCCGGAAAGGAGCTGCAAACAGGGCCAATTTTGACACACTGTTTTCTGTTACTTAGGTAACTTCTCATAAGTTCCAGAGCTTCAGTTGTTAAATCATAATGTTTTATTTATAATAAAAGAAGATCATGTGGCAAACAGTCGAATGCTTTAGACAAATTCATTATTGGCGGTGTTCCTGTAAAGGGGGTTCGTAATTGGATATCAAAGGGACATAACTTTTTACAAGAACGGACGCCATGTTGAAACAATGGAAATGTGTGGAAAATGAAACTACAACGCAGAACTTATAGAAATAAGCAAGAAAATAATTCAAGAAAACGCCATTTTGCACTTTTTAATTTAGTAATTATTACGAAACAAACAAATGTAAGGAGACTTCAAGAATAGCATTAATAATTATTACACTCTGCAAACCGTTCATCAAGCTACAAAACGTATACGTAGCTCTTATAATTTTAAGTTATTATTCAATGTCATTGAAGTATACTTCATTGCACATTTATTTTTAATTATTTGTAGAGACTTTTCCCTAACAAAAAAAAAAAAAACCCAAGCTTATAGAAAAAGGAAGAAAGCTCCAGAAAAGTATAACAAATTGAAACCAAACCGTACAAAAAGAAAAGATTACGAACAGAATATTTGAAATATTTTGAAAAAATGAACTGTGATGTACCAATAAATGAACGATAAAAAAGCTAACAAATCTTTTCAGTTATTTCAAAAGTATATAATCTAAATCTTTTCAGTTTTATCAAAAGTACTTGAGATTACTCTTGTCTCTTGACGTCCAACGGCAGTTTTCACAGTGACCCATCAATTCCGGCATTTTAACTTTCATTTTGAAAGATTGTAAGTGACCAAGGAGAAAAAGTAATGCGCAATGCATTATTGGAGCTGATTTATTCAAATTACCCTGGGTCAATTTGAATACATAATCTAACACCTCGTTCATTTATGACGCAAATAAGCTGAATGGCAGAGTGTATTCCGATTGTTATCATGTTTGGCTAGGAAGGTTCTAGTCCACAATTAGCATAAAAATTTGCATACTTAAGTCTTGAGGCCGCAAAGTCTCTCGTAACGAAGTCCATTTGAAAATGAAAGTTAAAATACCCGAATCGATGAGTCACTGTGAAAACTGTTGCACTTTGTCTTTCTGAAAAGATGGCAAGCTTTTCACAGACACAGAGAAAAAAATATTTTATACCAACAGTTTCAATCTCTATTTACTAAAGTAACAGATCTTGATTGGATACAATGTCACTCCTTAAACATTACTACATCATGCTTGTGTCAAGTTTAATTACTTACATCTTGGAACCCCCTTACAATTTCTTTGACCATCTTTGCTGGTTCCCCTGGGAAATGCATCTTGGTGATGATATCCAGAGGTAAAAGATTCCAATCTTTAATTGTATTTGGTAGGAAGCAGCATTTCAAAATGTCCGTCTTGGCTGGGTTTCTGAGAAAATGTTGACTATGCATGTTCTTTGTGGTTGTTGAAGATTTTTTGGTAGTTCAGCTAGATGGTATTCTCGTAATTTATATAGGGTAGAATGCGTTGTGTTTATATGAAGTAGAAAAAGGCGTCTATACAAATGAACGATTTAATGATGGAATGACAATGACGTTAACACAAAGATACCATGACGTTACATAGACATCGCTAACTCGTTTAATTACATGTAAATATCCAGCGGTACTATGAAAGTCTCTATTTATCCTCAACAGGTGTATGCCTTTGCAAAATAAAATCAGTCTGTTTTGTCTTCGCCCATCTTTCAGAAGTTCTAGTTTAATTTGGATTGAGATTGAAGTCATATGCATACTATCTGGTTTGTAACTATTGAGATGTTATGAATCTTGCTGCTCTTTTCTGGACATTTTCTAGTTTGTCTTGTAAATGTGTTTGATGTGGTTCCCATACTGAGCTCCCATATTCAAGGACATGTCTAATTAGTCCCTTGTACGCCTGCAGCTTTTCCTCCATTGGGCATGATGAAAATATTCCAGTGAAAGGTAAAAGCCCCCACCCTCAAATGCCAAACAACCATCAATGCAGCAGATATTTAAATACCATAGTCCAAATAATACACTTTATCGCTATTTATCTGCCATTACTGAACATCACTTAGGTTCCCATAAAATTTTGACATCGCAATAGAAAATATCTGACGCTACAAAGAAAAAGTGATTGTTGTATGATGTCAAAAGGCCAAGTGTAGCATATTCTCAGGTCAAGTGTCGCCGATTCCCAAATAGTGATAAGGTCTATTATGACGTCTTGAAAGTCTATTTTAATTTTTTGCTGTGACGCCTTTCTTACGATGTCTTAACGCGGATGCCATTTTTTTTAGCTGGACTAAGAGAGGAAATTTTCCTATCAAATTTGAGGCCCAACTTTGCCATGAAATCTTCACTGATGGCTAGAAATCTTTGCATGTATACAGACTGATCTTTTTGTGTGCCTATATTGGTGAAAAATATTTCCAGAAATATTCAAAAGTAATGATAAAATAAGTTATTATTCCATTTGAGATGACTTTGACCTACTTCTTTTTTTAAACATTAACCCAGATTTCCCAAGATCCTATACTTTTGGAGAGTATAAAAATAGATCTACTAACCGAACTCCAGAGATTAGGTTTGTCAAATTTTAAGCATATGGTCTTTGTGTAATGACATTGTTTTCTGAATTAATACTCTTACATATATGGTCTTTGTGTTATTGCATTGTTTCTTGAATCAATATTTTCTTTGCTATAGGTAGTACGATTTTGAACTATTTAGTAGTTGTGTGTGTTATAGGATCTGAGAGAGTGACGGTCAAGAGCAGGAAACAGCAAATTTATTTTTTGGCCTAACTGTACATGCACATGTGCAACCATCTCCAACTAAGGGTCATATTAAAGGTTTGCATGCATACATACAGACCAACATGAGGTTGATTTATTGTCTTGCAAGACAATAATATATCTGATGTTTTTGAACTTATTAATACAAAATTGATCCAAACTGGCAAATAAAATTGAACTATTATTGGGCTTGAACACTGGAATGTTATATATATATATATATGTATCTTTATTTTATAGATAAAGAAATTGAAATGAATCCCAGTGGATATTTACCAATGAATATGATGATGCAACAGCCATACATGGTGGCTGTGCGACTCCCACCTGGTGTTCAACAGCCGCAGAGGGGACAGACAGCTGGTGTTCTTCCTGCAGGATTAGGGGCACCTGCTGCCACACGGTTTGCTGCCCCAGCTCCACCAACCTCACCATCATCGTCATCTGCAGGAGCTCAATATGTAACTTCACCAGCATTAGCAGCTTCACCAGCATTGATGGCTTCTCCTGGACTAGTATCTCAAGCTTATGGTGGACCAGGCATCATGTCACAAGGATTAATGACACAGGCATTGGGACAACAAGGATTAATGACACATGCTTTGGGACAACAAGGATTAATGACACAGGCATTGGGACAACAAGGTTTGGCCTCTGGACTAGCAGCTCATCAGTATGCTGGCCACCCAGGTTTAACAGGAATGACTGCTCAGGGACTAACAGGAATGACTGCTCAGGGTCTAACAGGAATGACTGCTCAAGGACTAGCAGGAATGACAGGAATGACAGCACAAGGTTTTGCAGCACAAGGATTAACAGCTCAGGGCTTCCCGCCAGGTGGTCTGGCTGCAGCCCATCAGGGTTTGACAGCACAAGGTTTCCCACATGGCATGGTGACCCAACCAATGTCAGCATATGGTGCACCCAGTATGGCCTTTGCTAATCCTGGTGCATATGCAGCTGTTGCACATCCTGGGATGGCTGGATTACAGTATGCATATGCAGATCCTGCAATGGCAAGGTACATATATGATAAAATAAGTTGTAGTGATTCTTAAATATTATTTTAAAATACATTTGACCTACAGTACAGTTAAGAGCTATACAATTTTAAGGTTTTAAAAGTTAAAAGTAAATGATTTTTTGGAACTCATAGATTTATAAATACAGTATGGGTAGAGACTTATTACTATAAATAACGGACTGGGACATGTTGGAAATGAATAATCTGACTTTTTTATGGTAGGTAGTATGGTCATTAATCAACAGATCCAGGTGTGAATGGTAATATAATTGTCCTTTCATCTCAATCCGTGCTACTAGATTATTACGCTTCACTGATTTCAGAATCAGGTTACCTGTAATTTAAACCTCTCAGTCACTTTATTGATTAGTTCTACATCGTATTTGACATAAAATATTTTTACAGGTGAAGTACTGGAGACAACTTTGTTTTAATAAAAATAGCCTATTTTTTTAATTATGGCTTTTTGTATTTCAAATGCTGTTTATATTCCTCAAAATATTATTTTCTATATTCCCTGTTCTTTTTTTGTTATGTATCTTTTTCGTATTTGTTGGCATACAGTTTTTAAAATATTTTCTTTTTTATTTCTGGAAGGTATTTTTTGTTTTACTGATTTATTTTCCACGTAAACCCATTGATTAGCAGAATGATGTGCAAAGTGCTGCTGTATACGTTTTAGTTTGACAACACTACATTTGTATTTAATTTTCAGTCTGCGTTGGGTCAGTTCTGAAATAAAAATAATTACAGTGAGCAATACTTGTATACTAGTAGTTTGGTGATTCTTTATAATTGTGAATTTACTTTTTACTGTAAACAAATATTGTCCGAAAGTTTGTGATATATAACTAAAGTAGTACGCAAATAATAACACTAGGAGAAGAAGATAACGATTCTTCTCGGGAATTAGGTTTATTTTGATATTTCTGTGTTTGTTAAATATGCATGAAATAATTGCCACTGACATGAATGGACATTAACACTAGAAGCATTCAATCGTTTGATGACCAGTAAATTAAATATTTACTATGATTTGTAGTCATAAAGAAATGTAATTACTCCTATTTAAATAATTCTATGGTGCTGCATTGACTCTCAATTGCATAATATTAATTTACACACAATGCATGTTAACTTGTATGTTGTATTTTTGACCCCAATCTAAAAAAAATAGTTGCTGTGAAAAGACAATTCCATGATACACATATCAGTGATCAACAGCATGTGGTTGAACTTTGAACTTGACTTCACTCACAATACAATGTTGAATGCTAAAAATAGCTGGGATTAATTTTGTCAAATGCACGTGATTTTCATATGGCGGGAAATATCGTAACAGTTAACACAGGTGACCTTACTGACTGACCGTGGGAAAATCCATTCATGATTTAATTTGATACGTAATGATTGGCAGTATTGTGCGTTAGTTTTGAGGCTCTTAATCGAGATCCATTAATAATTGATTTACCAGAATAGAAAATTTAATCCTTGTAATTATAAACAAAAAACAAGCTTTAGTCTTCTTTAACTATTTCATTTATTATATTTATTAGTCAACACCCAGATTCCTATTTAAATAATTTATTCGGACACCTCCTTTAAAGTTCGGGAATTATACAATTTAAACTGCTGACATCAATTTACAAAATCTTACTGACTGCACAAGCTTTTAGAGAATGCCTGAATGGCTAGAAATACGACGCAAAAGTAAAGACGGCTGATCATGAATAGTGTAAAACTTTGATCTTCATGTATTAATTGACACAATTCCTAAAATATGTTTATAAAAAACACGATTTTCATTAAAATTTCAAACATGGAAATAGAAAGGCAATATCTTTGTTATAATACAACGAGTGTCAACAAATCTGTTATTTCCATTATATGTAAATTTATTAACAAACAAAATTTAAAATAATGCTGGGTCATAGAATATTGACGTGCATATGAAAAGTTTTTTTATATAAAAACTAGGAATCGAAAGATGATCACTGCGTTATAAATATTGTAAAAAAAACAATTGTTTCAAAGAGATTAACGGGAAATATATGTCAAAATAGAAAGCACGGATGATCTGGCTGACCAAATTGTTTTACATGCGAGAAATGATTGACAGGTATGAATAGACGTAGAGGCTCCGACAGGGAAGTGGTATTGAAAGGAAAATAACAGTTTATTCACAATGCCTTTATTCAATTTGTTTATATACTTTAAAATATGATATGCTGGCTTTATTCTTAAAATTGTGTTTCTATTAATAACTTTAAGGAACAGGACGTTAAAAGGGGCAAATATTGTAACATGTGTAACCATCAACGAAAACTCGTATAATTTATGGGATTGATGTCTCAACATTTTGATTAAAACTTCGATTGAAAACAGTCCTGGTTGTTATAATTTTGAATAAAATGAAATATTTACGGTTTACAAATACAAGTATTATAATTGGCAACACATTTTTACAGTACATTGTTAAAAATCGTCTTTCTTTCATTTTCAAGTTAAAAAAAAGTTGATCCCATATTCATGATATTAAATTTTTATTTTTATTGTAATTTTTTCTTTGAATACAAAACAATATTTTACATTTATTGTCTATCCTCCCTAAATACTAAAATATCTGTACAGGTAAAATTTAATTCTAATCAAGCTGGTACAGATTGATTTACGACCTTCCACTGGATATTGTAAAGGTTAATATCACAGCAGGTGTTAATTACACTGAGACAACTGTCCGGCCAGTCTGACATCTAGACGGATTAAGACATCCATAATAATAAGTCTCTACCCGTACTGTACTGTTACAGAAAAAAAATACAATATGTATATATTAAACATGTTAAAGTGGTTTATTTATAATTAAGAATTACTTCATTTTAACAGTATTCTATTTTCTGTTTATCCAAGAGGCCTTGCAATTTCACAATGCCTTAAAACTAAATTGATAACTGCATATCTGAAAATCTGGTTACTTGTTAAGGGGTAGCTGAAAATAAAAAAATGCTGAAGGCTACCTCCACTTGTCATGTTTGCAGATATGGTATTGTCCATATTATGTGATAAAGAAACCCCAAAATTAAATCATCGAATGACAGAATTATTGGTGCATGATGTACATATGTTTGTATATATAACTTTAGTGTAATGACTGAAGAAAAAAATGCAATTACTGTTATAAATTTTATGTTTTAGCATGGCAGGTTTAATGCAGGAGGTACCTATACAAGAAGAAGAGGTACCAGAAAGTGTAACAGTTAACCTAGATGACTTTAACTCTGATCTCCATCTGATTATAGATTCTGACGGGTAAGAAGTGGCAAGATTTTTAATTTTATCTTCTAGATTAAACTGTCAGTGTATTACATGTATTATGAACATGATTATTTTTTTTCAAAGTTATGAATAGTTTATGTCTGTCTGTGAATGGAACATGTATATTTGTCACTATGATCATTAGGCAAAAGATACCAAAGTGATATTCAAACTACTTAAGTATTTTAAAAAACCAACTGATAATGCTATGTCAAAAAATGAAAAATGATCAAAAGACACAGTTTACAAAACACAACCTAGAAAACTAAAGACCAATCAACACGAACCCCACCAAAAACACAGTTAGATATCAGGTGCTCTGGAAGTTAAGTCGTATCCTGCTCCACATGTGGCACCAGTCGTGTTGCTCATAAAAGTACAAACCCTTCAATAAGTCTTATTCAGTAGGTCACATTGGAGTAAAATAATATGCAATATGCATTAAATATTTGCTGCTGGAAATGAAGCAGCCAATAATCAATAGAAACCACTATTCTTTTTAAAGTCATTATATCCTGTTGGTTCAAATTTCTTTTGACAATAATTTCAAAATAAGGAGATGTGATATGATTGCCAAAGAGAGAATTGTCCATTAATTTAATTTAAAGACCTAAATACAAAGTTGTGAACAAGTGCAGGTCATTGTATAATTACTCATTTTGTGTTTTAAATATTTCTTTTTTTTTGTTGCTTGGTCTTTTTATTACATACATTGACAGGTATAGCCAATCTATACAATTTGAGTTTCACACTTGTTATTTTTTGTTACAGATTTGGTGCTCACCCATTAGTTCAACCGCCTGGTTTTAACTTTTGTTGGGCAGGTGCTAGGGCAACTCATGGTGCAATGTCAGGAAAGGTCAGTTTTACTTTGGACATTTATAAAACAAGAGCAATTTAGTATGACAAGGCAAAGTGCTTATGTGCTAGGTATTCAAAGTGCTATATTTATACAAAATGTACTTACAAAATTTCAAAAGGACTGAATAAAATCCATAAAAATTCAAATGTCTTTCTTCTTTTAATCTTTTTTTGGCTGTGTTGGGTAAATATTTATGGATCATTGATAAAATCAGGTTTATGTGATACCTGCAGTAAGACCTTGATATATAAAGCAACAAAAATTCCTTAAAAGTGAGTAAAGCAGGTGAGACATTCCAGCATGTGCACTTTTGTTATTTGATTTACTTCATGTGTACTGTTATCTCATAAAAGAAGATACAGATCAGTTTTGGTGCTGTTTATTCAGATGCTTTAAGGGGTATAAGCACAATTTTGAATTGTATTGCCATTATATTTTGTAGAAGGAGATGTATGATAAATAACTGTGATTTTGTGTGTTTCAGCTGTATTATGAAGTGCAAGTTGTTGAACATTTACCTACAAATTTTGGAGAAAATCATCAAGAAACAAATCCACATGTTCTGAGAGTAGGATGGTCAATAGACGAAAGTTCATTCCAGTTAGGTATGGCTACAATTCTATCAGTTCTTCAAATCATTAAACAAGGGTCTATGCAATAAGAATGTTAAACTGCAGTCCATTCAGGGCTTTTAAAGAAATTTAAAATTAACGTTTTTCAAAATAAAATTATAAGGGATTACTCCCCTTATTTTTTGCCTATTTTAAAATTCTAGTGCTGGAAATAATGATTATTCATATAAAATATCTATAAATTATAATTGATTACAAAATATTAAAATGGAATGTAATTTAAAGAAAATAAAATTTCTGTATACATAGAGAAATAAAACATTGTAAATGAGAGATTATATCTTCAATACTGCCAATGAAATCAAACCCTTATTATATAGGCATTTAGACCTTCTGATTGGGTAACAGTTCATATGTAGATATGGGAATTGTATTAATGTTTGTGGATGTGGTTATCTTCCGCTTGATTAAGATTTAAACCCATTAAAATTAAATTAATCCCAAGTGGTCAATAAAGATATTAAGATATTTGAAGAAAAGGAATAAAACTATTTCATGCATGAACCCTGGGTTTTCTACATACACATTGAAGAATTTATTCCTATTTATTATTTAGTTAATGCATGACCCTACAACACAATACTAAATAATACAAAACTAAAATAGATCAAAGGTTATAAACACACACAAAAAGACGTGTATGGGAAATTTCCATAAGGAGAGAGGATAGATGATATGTGTCAAGACACAATGCAAACTATGTTTGATGCATATTTCTAATTTGCTGCCACACTTACAGAAATAAAACATTGTAATTAAGAGATTATATCTTCAATACTTCTATTGAAATCAGACCATTATTATATAGACATTAAGACAGACATTACCATGGTGCTATCCAAAAATCATGGGGGAGAATACTGCATGCATATTATGTATGTTGACAATTTGTACTTAACTTTCTAAAATACTATAAAAAAATTACCTTCAAATTTAATTTTAAAGAACATTCAAGCAAATGATGAAAAAGCTATCTTTTTGATTTTTCTGAAATTTCAGGAGAAGAACCATATTCTTATGGGTATGGTGGAACTGGTAAATTTTCCAAAAATTGTAAATTTTCCAATTATGGTGAACCATACGGTGAAGGGGATGTTATTGGAGCCTTACTTGACCTTGATGCCAAACCACCAAGCATGTCATTTACAAAGAATGGTAAATGGCTTGGAGTAGCAGAAACTTTATCAGCATTTCCTGTTGGAGTGAAAGAAAGAGCATTATTTCCTCATATTCTGAGCAAAAACACCAAGTAAGTATTTATAAAGATTTATGTACACATGTATTGCAGTGTTGTAATTGCTCTATGATCAGTTTTGTATGAAATAGTGTTTGAAATCTATTCTCATTAGTTATTACACAGAAGTTGGTTGAGCAGAAAATATCATGTGTAACTCAAACAAGTTTGACCAAGGATAAGAAATAGTGAAGATGCGAAGTTCTGATCTGACACCTTGTTTCTGACCATTTTTTAATCTGTTGCAAAACGTGATAATAGTATGTAATTGCAGGAGGATGGGGAAAATGGGTACCTATTGTGTGTAATCAAATCCTCCTTTAGTTTTTCTTCCAAGTTTCCCAAAGCTTCACAGAAAGATTGCACACATATTAAATATCTGTTCCTGCTATTATGGAATTGTTTGATGATTTTTTTGTCATTTTTTAAAACTTAGTAACTTTTCAGCAAATTTATCAAAAGGCTGTACCTGTATTGTGTATTCCTTCTTTATTTTTTTTCAAGATTATTGAAAATTAACAAAAAAGATTGATCACCTTTTGTTAAAGGGCCATTAGCTACAAGATATAAAAAAATTAAAATATGATTTTTTTTTGTTCAATCATTAATGAAAGTGAAATAGTGAAATAATAATTCGCTATTAGCAGTCATGTGACCTTCAATTTAACCCATTAGCTAGAGATTGGTTACCCATGTATAAGTCGTGTTCAGCCATTTAAAGGAAAAGAATGTCAACATTGAAAGTGAAACAAAGGTGAACCATTTTGTTGACTGATTCGATCCACAAAAAATCATTCTTATACAGGTAAAAATGATGATTAACTTGCAAATTGCACGAGGTTGCTATCTATTTATATTTATGTTTATGTTTATATCGGGTTTTGTAACCATTGATAGTCTTCGGAGGTTATCTTAATGGTTAATTAGATGGCGTCTAGACTAAAATATAAATGAAATGCTGATATATATTATCGAGTCCATGCACTGTTAATTGTTTATTTCAGACTTGTTGTAATTTGGAAATATGTTTTAGTATGTTATACATCAAATATGAGAATTTGAGTCAAATCAGTGAACATGAATTTGAAAGCTTATGCCGTTTAAAAGATTTTTTTCTCCTATATTTTATATTTCTAAATAATTAAATGTATTTTATGGACCATTGTTTAAGATAACCTCACCATTTGAGTCTTTGATCCATTTAAAAAAAAATGGCAGACTAATTTAAACATTCATTTTCATTTTGAGTATGAATACTGTCAGCTAAACAAAATTATATAATACATATCAGTTACCAAGTATGAAATATTTTCAATCCTATGACAAACCTTACAGATTTATAGCTCACCTAGCCTTCTAGGCTTTGTATCAATTGTAACTCAAAAAAAAATTCACATTTTATCATCCTCTCTGAAATTTTAACTAAACTGAAAAATGATGGAAAAACTTCTACAAATGATTGTCATTTGGTCCTGATTGAATGAAAAACATTCTGCTATTCTTTGTCTGACAAATATCTCTTCTTCATGAAATAAATATTTGAAAAGGAAATTTCATTGTTATATTTTATTTTATTTTATTTTCAGATTTATTGTAAATTTTGGTCAGCAAGAATCTTGGTATTCCCCACCACAAGGGTTTAATTATGTCATGCATCAACCAGGTCTTGTCAGAGGAATGGAAGCACCAGCCAAGAAGTCAGACTGTGAAGTAAGTTTTTTTGGGTAAAGATTGCATGAAATGCAATCAAAACCATATGGTACTGACTTGATATCTAAATCTTCCAAGGTTTATCACAACTTTTGAGATACACAAAATATAGTTCATTGATTATAACATTCTAAACATCCTATCCATGAACATTTCTAGAAATTTATCAATGAAATATATGCTCAGATATTCAATGTTATACTTGTCAAGAAAATTACATAATTTGTGCAAGGTGCAGGAATCTAAGATGTGTTCTAAAAATATCAATGATATCAGTAAGTAATCTTTAAAATTAGAGTTGTCTTCCTATGTCCATAATTGTAGTTGACCAATGCTTTATACAATGCAATATTTAATTTTACTTCCCACTGATAAATTAAAGCAATCTTTACCCTTCAGTGCTTACAAGCACTTTGATTCATTTATTGTCTTCTTAAAAGATTTTATTTGCATTTTTATACAAAATATATCAACATGGCATTGATGCAACTTTTTAAGAATTCTACTTTAATTTAGTTTGTTGCAAATTAAAAAACTTTATTGAAAAAAAACCTGAAAGTGGTTTAAAAGACTACAAACTAAAACCTTTTATAACATTTGTTGTTTATAGATAGTAATGATTATTGGTCTACCAGGAGCAGGCAAAACTACATGGGGTATAAATCATCAGAAAGCACATCCAGAGAAAAGGTACAATATCATTGGATCAGACACCTTGATAGATAAGATGAAAGTCATGGGCTTGCCTCGTAAAAATAATTACCATGGAAGATGGGATGTTCTAATCGACAAGGCAACAAAATGTCTCAACAAGCTGTTTGAAATGGGTAAGTTTGGGTTGTCTTATTGTCAAATCATGCCACAATGAGTCAGTTATAAGTGCTACCCATGATGACAATTCTTTATGTGGTTCAAATGTTCATCAAAAGAATATACCCACTTAAACATCAACAACTGAAATACATAGGGAATATGAATTTTCTTGATTTTGATAATAATCTGTTTTATATAATTTGATGCTTCTGTTCAAATTAGAAATGGTTTTGAAAAATAATAATAATGGACTGACAGACCTTTGAGTTTCATAAACAGATAATTTTCTTTCTTGGTCTGTATAATTACATTTAGAATGCATGTTATGGTTGTGTATTAATCTTATAGAACAAGGTAACGGCTATTATTAAATAATGTGATCATATATCGGATTTGGAGTTTCCAGTTGCATCACTCTTGAAATCGCATAGGAATTGGTTTATTATTACATAGAAATAATTCTCAAACCAAGAATGATGAAGTTTTATAAACTGATCATACCAAGGTTAGAAACTATGACAACATATGTCTAATAAATTGTGATAGGATTGTTGTTAACTTGACATCTTCATATTTTTTCTGGCTAAAAGAAAAGTGTCAATACCATGATACAAGCAGTCAAGCAGCACTCCTTTCATTTCAAGAAAACTACATATTATCTTACATTGTAAGTAATTTGACCTTAAAACACTGTTAACCTGAAACTAACTTATGTAAGAAATAACTTTTGATGAAACCAATTTGAAAGATAATGATAAAATGATATACAGTGAAAATTGTAATATATTCAACTTTTTGTTTATTGTAGCTCAAAAAAGGAACAGAAATTTTATTCTCGATCAAACCAATGTTTATCCATCTGCAAGAAAAAGAAAAATGAAGAATTTTAGTGGATTTCTCAGACGTGCAGTAATCATCCAACCAGAAGATACAGAACTGCAAAGACGGTCTGAACAAAGAACTGTAGATGATGGTAAAGTAGAATATTATATAAGATGTGTATTCAACCCTTAAAAAAAGGTTTTTTGGTGACTGGCACTTAACTACAAATATTTTTCTCTGGAGTACAAGATTTTGAAAACCCCAGGCAGTAAGACATGTAGTTTAATTTTGAAGACCTATTGTCTTTAGAAAGTCATTTAGCTGAAAGTACTCTTTAATTCTAGCAAGAAAGTGAAAAGATATTAACTTGCCAGAATAATATATTTGGTATATTAAATGAAGTGTTTATTGCTGTTCGGTGTAAGCCAAGGCTCCTTGTTGAAGGCCGTACTTTGACCTATAATGGTTTACTTTTACAAATTGTGACTTGGATGGAGAGTTGTCTCATTGGCACTCATCTCCATATATCTATTATATAGTGTCAATACAGACATGTTTCTACTCTTACAGGGAAGAACTTTGTAAATATTTTTGATTATGAATAGAATGTCATTTTTATTAAGCTGTTTGATTTGTATCATACATAAGGCCATGTAAAATATCTGATACTAAAATTATTAAAATGTAATAAGGAGATGAATTAGCAATATATCACGTCATTGGTTCCTTCATACATTCATTTGTATATTCATCTTTGGAACAGATTGAGTTCTGTGTTATAAAAATTATAAAAAGATATAAAGGAATGATATTTTTTTAAGTACACACTTCTTTGTTATTACATTAAACTACACCAATTTTATTGCACAAGATACACAAGGTCATAATGAAATGATATTATATATTTCCTCATGATTATGACAGATAATTGTTAAACATGCTTTTTTAACAACATTTTTAATTGCATAAGAATATTTTTACTTGTACATTACAGGAAAGTTTGTTCCAGAGTCAGCTATTGTTGAAATGAAAGCTAATTTTAAATTGCCAGATGTAAATGACCATTTATTTGATAAGATTGACTATGTTGAACTACCAAGAGAGGCCAGTGTCAAGCTTGTAGAAAGGTAATAAGAATGTATGAAAACTTAATCTAATGCATACAACACAAGTTAATTATCATTTCACAACAAAGTACACTAAAAGTGAAAGGTCAGGAAGACCAAAAAAGTTAACATTTACAATAGTAGAGCAGAAAAATCGTCTTAGGGCAACTCAATTTAAACACAATGTCTAAAGAAGGCTGAATTTTATGAACCACCAATAGAAATGATGTTATACTGAATATAAATTTCTATTGCACATAAAGGTGGAAATGCATTGAAATGATTTCAGAGTACTTTCTTGGTTAGTATTAGGTTTAAATGGAAAAGACCTTATCTTGAAAAACCGAAGGACTGATATTTATGTCTTTTCTCGTTAAGAAAGATTGTGTGAATCATAATGTATAATTTGGTTGTTTTTTTATAAACAATTGTTGGCTACAATACAAGTTAGATAATTATACCCGGCTGCATAGGTATGAGGAGTGGGTTATACTGGTTTACCATTGTCCACCTGTCTATTACATTTTTACAGCAACTACAAGGCTTCTTGATATATATGGCACCAAGATTCTTCAAATGATGATGCTTTACTGTGCAAACACATTTTCGGTTTCTTTGATGTTGAAAATAAAACAGAAAAATTTAAACAGAACAGAATGATAGTCTCAATGTATGATTTATAATTATTTGTTATAGGTATAATAGTGAAGGTAAACATGGTAGTCAGCCAAGAAGTGGAGGTCAACCTTTTCAACCGCCTGCAGATTTGAGACAGGTAGGTCAAGCAGGTATAGTTCAAACAACATGGAAATTTTATGTTATTTATGCCTTAAATAGTTGTGAATTTCAATGTTTTCAGTTTTACAATCACAAATAAAACCACAAAATAATAAAATTTATATTACAAAAAAAGCATAACATTGTATAGTTTAGAATTCCTGTAAAATTTGAATTTATGGATATGTTTCTTTTTGTTGAACAAAAAATTTCCATGTTATAACTTTCATGTATCAGTATTGTTAAAGCAAATCTTGTTTGTAAAATAATTATATGTAAGTTGATACACTTTATTATACATGTGAACATCTATTTACAGATTAAAAAGAGGTATCTTTACATGTATGTACATGCTTGCTGAATTTATTTCAGTACACAAACACACATACACATCAATGAACCAGCAAACATCTTTCATATGCTATAATCAAGTTAAAAATAATCTTAAGTTAATATTATCATGGAGTTGGATATGTTCTTTCTTTAAAAATCAAATATGGTACTAACAAAAACATACACACAGGAGTTGATAATACCATCATCGATTTTACTTTTTTAAAAGAATACTCAGTTATCAAGATATAAAGAAAAAAATATGAAAACATTGTCATGATAGACTAAGTAAGAAACCAACTGCTAGAAATTAGGGCAAAGGTTTAAGAGATACCTTACCAATGTTGTTTTGGAAGGTTCAGTATTATGATTATCAGTTCAGTTAATATTTTTTTTATAACAGGGTTGGGAAAAATGTTTCCAGATATTGCTGTAAATATTTTAGTATTAACCTCATCTTATTTATACTGAGGAAACAGCATGTTTCAGAAAAAATAAAAAAAAAGCTTATCATTTGCATAATTTGAGCACCTAGTTTATCAAAAGAAAGATGTGGAATTCAAATGATTAAATATTTTCTCCATTTCCTCCTTGACCTATAGAGTATTCAACAATGCTCATTACACACATCAGTTAGGAAAACCATTCATTTTCGTTAAAAACTTCGTTATTTGCATATAGAAAAAAAAAACAATACTGTTCGCTGCATTTTATTCATGTGATTCATTTTAACTAGCTTATATCTTTAAAACCATCTCAGTTACAGTAAATGTCTCATTAGTTGTGAGTTATCATTCTTTGAATTTCAATTTTGAATTGTACATCAGAATGTTTGTTAGAAAACAAATTCTTACATCTTAAATCTTTTTAGTCAGAATGATAAAACATTTTGTTTTCAAGTGGAAGTTTATATATTCTATTGCAAGAAAATAGTAATTTTCCTATTATGATATAGATAACGAGTCAGACATTCAATATTTATGTACAAAAAATATCCTTGTTGTCAAAGCAATCAGTAGGTTTAAAGATTAAAAAAAAAAAAAATTATTTTATAGTAATATGAACCAAGAATTGTTGCCAATTGCAGTTAAACAGCACATTGTATATGCTTTTTGCACTGTTTTTCTAATTACAGAATGAAAATAATGAAATATTTTGAAATATATATATTCATATATATATATATATCAGTCATGACCTTGCATGCTCTACGTTTTAGGTTAGAATTTTATGAGATAATATTAAGAAAATGTGAACAAATTCCTTTTGAGAAGAGATTTTTGAAAATAGATCTTTTAGTTCTATATTAAAGAAACATTGCTCCCTTGGTAAGGAAGATGATTCATTATTTCATAATTATCAGATAATAAGAAAAAAAATCATTTGTGCCTAGAATGCTTAGTACTATGCTGAAGTTAAATCAATATAAAAAGCCGTTTTTACAAGGGTATATTTGAGGATAAATCTTGTTTGAAATACAAAAAAAAGACTTGAAAAGTCTTATTTGATCAGGTGTGAAGATTTTTCAACATGAATACAAGTTATCAATCAAATAAGCTTGTTTAAAGCATCTGTTATTGGGTCTGACAGTCTCCATTGTCAGTAGTCTTGTGTCTAAAATATTGTATATGAGATAGTTACTTCATGAGTTAGGGCAGAAGACAGTAAAGTATGTATGATCCTATTTATAACAACATTGCAGTTACTGAACTTATATTCCTCTTGACAGGCAGTTATTGATTTAATAGCTTTTTAAAAAAAGAAGTTAATAAAGCAAAATATTATATTCAATTACCATATTTGATTGTTTTCCCTCATTTTAACAAAATACAAGTTGACATATTTTCAACTCTATTGAAAGTGACCATTTTAAGTTTTATTTAGTATGCATTAAAAGGCAAATATGATATATCAAAATTTATCATTTGTAAAGGTCGCCTGTCCTAATACTGAGATCATTAAATAAATTCCTTATATTAAGTGAAGACATCATTATGTTTAGATTATTTAATATATTCATTATACTTATGGCTGCTTAGGAAGTTTTAAGATTGAAAAAAAACTCACTTGTATTAATATTAGTATTTTAATGATTAAACAAGTTTATAGAATCTTTAAAATTCCTAATTATTAATTATATAGATAGAATACTTCCAAATAAGTTGAAGAAGTTGTACCTAAAAATGCGTATTTGTCAAATTACGCAGAGCATCAGCTATATGCATATTGCACTGTGAGTAGTAAAAAAATACACAGGATTTTATTACCAAGGGGTTAATCTTTCTCCAGATTGTATGTCAGTTATATCTTTCATTTTAGAATTTTCTTTTGTTTCCCTTTAAATATGTGTATATTGTGTTTTCCCTCTTTTGGCATTTTTTGTGTTCAGTCTACAACTTATTTAAAAAAAAAATGACTTAATGTACTTAAAATGGAGTTTATATTTTCTATATTTATCTTACACTTGAAAAAGGTTTAATAATCGTGAGTTAATTGGGGAACGAACAATGATTTATGATATACCATAATTTGTTTTTAAGTATTAAATTAAAATCATATTTCTGCAGATGAAAAATTAAGTTGATGATTTTCAGTACAGAATGTATTTTAGACAATTTTATATAATGTATTCTATTTACTATACAGTTGCACACTTTTAAGAACCTAGTGGTTCAATCTCTGCATTTTGAAATATTTAAACAATATAAAGTTATCCATATGACACCTCAGAGTCTCATTTTAAAGGATATATTCCACAGTCTTATGTCAGTAAAAAAAAGGAAAAGGGGCATCTTAAACTGTTATCTTCTTTATCATGACTGATCTATGCTAGCTGTATCTTTTTTTTTTATAAAAACTGATCTATGCTAACAGTATCTACAAGTATATTTTATAGGCATAAATTCCCCAGAATTATAGAAATAATATAAACATTTCAGTATCATGTATCTCTATAGTTAAAATATCCAGGATTTCCAGTATGAACCCCAACAAAGTTGAGCAATCAATTTTTTTTACAGATCCACTCTAGTTGATAGATTATACAGGATTTGCCTTTTCTTTGATATTCTTTTTTAGTTTTGTAGTAAACTTTATTATATTGATCTTAAAGTTTTTTTTTGAAGCATTAGCAAAATCAACATAGATATAAAGAGATATTATGTCCATTTTAATGCTAGTTTTACTAACCTTTGTAATAGAAAATATCCTTTTGATCAGTATTGTTTATTGTATGTTCTTGATAAAGCATGATGTTAATTCATGTATATTTGTTGTTGGGGGTAGGATTTTCATTTGTGAGTACTTAATCAACTGAGAAGAATTCAGAAAACTTTCAGTATTTTAACAGGCCATGACATTTGGACAGGTTCGTTCCTTGGGTTTAATTTTTATAGGAAACTCAGGAAACTGAAAGAATAATAATTTTTGTTATTCAGGATGTTTGCAATATCAAACACCCAAAGGATGTTAAGGAAAAAATAATCAGCAATAATATTAAAGCAACTAATAGTCAGTTAAAAAAAATTTCAGAAATTATCTGATAATCTATGTTTTGCTTTATTAACCACAGGTTTGGTATATAAATGTTGATTAATAAGGAGAAAACTATACCTTTCTTGAGCTGTTGTGTAACTGATTGGTTAATATATGTAAGATCATTACAGGGCATTTATAGCCTGATTATCTAAAAACGAAATCATTTCTTTGAAGAAGAATAAAATTAATTTCTCACCCATATACAGGTGAAAAATCAATTGATATTACATATTTGAAATGGAAGTCTGCTTCCTTGATCATAACAATTTGGTTGTAGCCTAGGAATTGTAAGACTTATTCAATGCTATTTACTTTGTTTTAAACAAAGAACGTTGCATATAGAATAGAATTAGTGCATTATTTTGGCAGAAGACACACTCTAAAAAGCAACTTATTTTGATAAGTGTAAATTAGTTAAGATCTTGGAGATTCATTCCCATAACTTTTGTTTATAAAAATTCTTTAGAAGATCAAAGATTAAACCTTTCAAAAGTTATAATTGCACCTCTGCCTCTTTTGCAATACTACTTAAAAAATACATATGATGAAGATGCATTATAATTTTATTGCAAATGATTAATACTGGTATATTTATTAATATTAGTATAACCCAGAACTAATTATTTTATAGAATTTAAAGAGCACTGTTATATTGATACATAATGATACTGATTTCTTTTATCTGATAGAATATCACAGTAGCTTAGAATACAACTCCTGATAATACACACCAACAATAGAAGTGAAGACCAACTCTTTACTAACTCCTTCTGGAACACCATATAATTTCTGCCAAACCCCTTGATCATGTTGACAACAAACTAATAAGTTTGGTCCTATCAAAATCTATCGTAATCCGGATTTAGATTCAGAAAAATGGGAATCAGCCTTTTTTAATTTGTATTCCACTTAATCAGAGAATAATTTTCCATTGTTTAAAAGAATCAATAAAATTATTAAAGAAATAAAGTTATATTTTAGAAGGAAATAAGGTCTATTTGAAGATTAATTGAATTTCAGTTCTTGATTGAAATGACAAAAAGTTAGAAAAAAATACATCGTAAGATTTTCAGTAGCTTTCATGAAAGCATGTCATGTTTACAATGAATACCTTTGTTTCAACCAAAA